CAAAAAAACAGCCTACATTGGACACAGTTAAAACTTTCTTTGTTTCCTTCGCCACAGATGTTCATCGTCAAGAGCGCTGATGGCGACCATGTTGGCCTTGATGCTTTTGATATCTCTGGCTCCAAGTACACCCCCGAGGGCGAAGTGTAAGTTGGTTTTGATTATTCAAATCCAGTATCAGGCATACAATAAAGTGCCCACGAACCGCCCCTTATTTATTTCTAATTCTCTCTTTGTCTTTCAGCTCCCAGGCAGGTGCCAAGGTCAACTGCAGTGGACACGACGGCCTTGTTGAGCTGGCTACCATCTGCGCCCTGTGCAACGACTCCTCTCTGGACTACAACGAGGTAAAGTCATGAAGTCATGCAGTGTATTTGCTACACTGAAACCTCATCACCTTCCACAGTTTAACCAATGATCTCCATCTCCTTCCTTTTTCTCCAGACCAAGAAGATCTATGAGAAGGTCGGTGAGGCTACTGAGACCGCCCTGTCCTGCCTGGTTGAGAAGATGAATGTGTTCAACAGCAGCGTGAAGAACCTGACCAAGATTGAGAGAGCTAACGCTTGCTGCTCAGTAAGTCTCCTCTTGCCATTTGCTACATTTTGAGGATAATTCACATTTTTATTTATACAGCTAATTGCGAACCACTAAAATTGCTCCAAAGAATTTAAGTTTTTAATTAAGGCCAACCGGTTGCGAGATAACTGCCTAGCTAATAAAAAAACTCTTTCATTCAACAGGTGGTCAAGCAGCTCATGAAGAAGGAAGTCACTCTAGAGTTCTCCCGTGACAGGAAGTCAATGTCCGTGTACTGCACTCCCACTAAGGGTGATGGTGGTGCCAAGATGTTTGTGAAGGCAAGTTTCTTCTTTTTTCTGTCTCACATCCTTTGTTCAGCATTTAACATAACACTAAATGATGACTTTGTTTCCTCCACAGGGCGCCCCTGAGGGTGTGATTGACAGGTGCACATATGTGCGTGTTGGCACCAACCGTGTGCCCCTGACCAGCGGCATCAAGGACCATATCCTGGCTGTTATTAAGGAGTGGGGTTGCGGTCGTGACACCCTGCGTTGCCTGGCCCTGGCCACCAGTGACACCCCAATGAAGTTGGAGCACATGAAATTCGAGGACGCAACCAAATTTATCAATTACGAGGTGAGAGCTCAAACACCTTGATATTGAGATGTGTGGATGTAACTGTGACTACATGTAAGAAGTTATTTTGAATGACTCCATTCAACCCTCTCTCCTCAGACTGACCTGACCTTCGTTGGCTGTGTGGGTATGCTGGATCCCCCTCGCAAGGAGGTCAGTAGCGCCATTGAGCTGTGCAGAGCTGCTGGAATCCGTGTCATTATGATCACTGGTTAGTATTATGTCTAGGTTTTAAAAATACCTCAGAAACTGACTCTTCACGGACTCCCCATCAAACTTCTCCTCTCCTATATTTCAGGTGACAACAAGGGAACCGCTATCGCTATCTGCCGTCGCATTGGCATCTTCAAAGAGGATGAGGATGTGGAGAACAAGGCCTACACTGGACGCGAGTTTGACGATCTTCCCCTCTACGAACAGGGCGAGGCTGTGCGCAGGGCTTGCTGCTTTGCCCGTGTTGAGCCATCCCACAAATCCAAGATTGTGGAGTACCTCCAGAATTATGATGACATTACTGCTATGGTGAGAGCTCAGCAGCATGAAATACAACCTAGCCTCACACAGCTGCAGTCCATGTGTTTTTCAGCTGTTCTGTTCGTGGTTTTGTGCCCAGTTTTTACTGTATGTCTATGATAATTGCTCTGTACATGTGTGCAGTTTGAGAGTAGTTTAACATATGCTTCCACTCCTCCCTATTCCAGACTGGTGATGGTGTGAACGATGCCCCTGCCCTGAAGAAGGCCGAGATTGGCATCGCCATGGGCTCTGGCACTGCCGTTGCCAAGTCTGCCTCTGAGATGGTCCTGGCTGACGACAACTTCTCTTCCATTGTGTCTGCTGTTGAGGAGGGCAGAGCTATCTACAACAACATGAAGCAGTTCATTCGCTACCTCATCTCCTCCAACGTCGGTGAGGTCGTCTGGTGAGTGGTTTATGTAAAATGCACTCTGATCCACAGCTAAACGCCACATTTCAGCCATCATTCTCTCTGCCTCTGGCAAACTTCGGCCTGTTCTATTGTTTCCTTTCTCACTCTTTCAGTATCTTCCTGACTGCTGCTTTGGGTCTGCCTGAAGCTCTGATCCCCGTCCAGCTGCTGTGGGTCAACCTGGTTACTGACGGTCTGCCCGCCACTGCTCTGGGCTTCAATCCCCCTGATCTGGACATCATGGGCAAGCCCCCACGTTCCCCCAAGGAGCCCCTGATCTCTGGCTGGCTGTTCTTCAGATACATGGCTATTGGTGGTAAGTAGGACATTGGACATTATGTTTGTATATTGTTTAAATGCAGGACAAACTATTGCCTACACTAACGCTGTCTTGTTTCCCGAACAGGATACGTCGGTGCTGCCACTGTTGGTGGTGCTGCTTATTGGTTCATGTATGATCCAGAGGGCCCCGGTGTCACCTACTACCAGCTTGTAGGTCTCTTTCATATTGTCTTTAACACACACTCACACGCATACACTTAATAACCTCACCTCTCCTCTGTTCAGTCCCACTTCATGCAGTGCCACGATGAGAACGAGTACTTCGCCGGTGTCGATTGTGAGATCTTTGAGGCTGCTTGTCCCATGACCATGGCTCTGTCTGTTCTGGTCACCATTGAGATGTGCAACGCTCTCAACAGGTAATGCTTCACATGTGATGATGATGACATATTTGATGATGACTCCTGTGGTTTCTTCAGGTAACATTTATTTTCATAATACCTTTTTTTTCTTCTTTTTCAAGCTTGTCTGAGAACCAGTCTCTGATTCGCATGCCCCCATGGAGCAACTTCTGGCTGCTGTCTGCCATGACCCTCTCCATGTCCCTGCACTTCATGATCATCTATGTTGACCCTCTGCCCGTAAGTCAGCCAAAAGTGTTCTCTACAGATTGATTCGATTATATGGAGGCATTGTGACGTGTAGTATTTGTCGTAGTTGCTCAGTAGTTCTGATTCTCCTCTTTTGCCCCCCAGATGGTCTTCAAGCTGACCCATTTGAACATGGACCAGTGGTTGATAGTCTTGAAGCTTTCCTTCCCCGTCATCCTCATTGATGAGGTGCTGAAATTTGTGGCCCGCAACTACATTGACTGTAAGTAGCCTCATATTTTTGTACGTCCCCTCTAACATATTAAAATAATAAAGAAATACCTTATTTCTTAAATTAATGCTTCTGATCTTTTTTGAGAAGTTTGAATATGATTTTAATTTATTAATACTGTCATCTTTTTTAAATAATTAAATAATGATGCTAATCATCCATTGAGATTTTGACTTTGTAATTGTGTTTGTGAAATTCATCTTCATCCTGTGCTGTCATCTAATTTTATCACATCAACTCTTCATCGATCATAAGTTTGATAATGTGTGTTTTGATCTGCCTAATTCCATCACTCCTCCACCATTAACTCACTTAACCATGTTGATTTCCAGACTAAATTAAATCAACCCACCACCTTTAGCCTGTAACTAAATCAAGGTATTCCACAGCTTGAACTGCTGCTGGTTATCTCTGTGTATCTGTAGTTTATGTGCATGTCGGTGTATTTTTGGTTTTGTCGTGTATGTTCCTGCTCTTATGAAAACCAGTCCTTGGCGATGTCTGCTTTGTATATTACCACACTCCTGTAGATGTGGAACTCCGGCTCTTAATTACTTAATGACATACGTTATTGAAAACATGAATCCAACAACTGTCACATATTGACAGGGTGACACAATGGGGAAATTCCTGAGTAATGCTTTCTGTATCTGATGTCGTCCTCTGTGTTTAGTTAGAAGGTGAGTTAATCACCTCTGAGTTGCTGCTGTCAGTGTCAGCATTACAGCTTGTTTGTTGGGTTGTTTCTGTCTGTATGTAAGACAGAAACATATGCCTGTTCTGGTACCACTTCTGTAAAAAGGCGTGATATGGTCGGTGTCCCACAAAAAGCCTTTGGCAACACTTTATTTTATAAAAATGTATAAGCAGAGTATAAACATAGAATTCATAGTTTATAACACCCTATAATGTAGCTGGAAACCGAGGTAAGGGCTATTAAAGTATTATTGATGTCAAATAACAGGTGGAGAAGCAGATAAAAACTATAAAATATTACACACTTGTAATTTTATAAGATATTTCTTAATAGGAGAAGTTATTCTTGTTGAATATATTCTATGTTAATAAACATATACAATGTCATTATAACTACGTTTTAATGTGTTACAAACAGTTTATCATGTTAACATACTGCTTATGAATTATAAATGGCGGTGGCGTGATGTAATAAAGTGTTGCCAAATTTTTAGAAAGTATTTTTAAATGAGAATGTCATGTTCTTCGCGCATAATGACTTAGGCACCACCATCTTAGTCAGCTGGTTGCTTTCATTAGATTTGATGTCAAAGATCAATTATACTCAAGTGAGAGGTTATGTTACAGATGACATCATGCTTTCTGAGTAAGAGTAGTTCATTTGTGGGCAACTTTCTAGGACTTTGACTTGTCTGCAAACATAGTTTGTGTTCAATTTGATTTGTCAAGTGTTTCCATTGTTGAAATCAAATCCATTTCCCTATCTGATTCATCTATTTTCTTTTTACCAGGTACAGAAACTAAACGCTAGAGATGTAGAAGAAGAGGATCTTAAGGGTTGGAGAGAAAGAGGCGGAGAAGAGAGAGAGGAAGATCAAAACCAAAGAGGGGAGCCATAGTGAGCCAACCAACAGAAGAAAGAGGAGAAAATACAGGAAAACCTACTTTAAAAAAACAATAAAACCTGTCAACAAAATCTACACAAACATAGCCTCTATACAAGCAAGGAGATTTGACCCAAATGAAAGGAAGTATACATGCCGATAAAGTATTCAAATATTTAAGATTTTATTCTCAGAAATAAAGTATGTGAAAGTGATTTTTTTGTTAAACTTGGATATTCTCAGCTGTTGTGTTTTTGTGTCCTCTGTCCATTTTCATATGATTGACTTTCCAGCTCATTTATTTTATTCTAGTCTTTGTTGCTCGTGTCTTGTGCAGCCTCCCTTCTTTGGCTGGGCTTTGTACAGTGTGGTGTAGGGTTGCAAAATGACTTCATATGGGCAGAAAAACTACATGCCTCCAGGTGCCAACACTCTATAGGCTCCATGCAGTCAGCATACTCTGTTGGAAGTCTCATGACGTAAAATGGGCATGTCCACTTAGTCACAACACTTGTGGTCTTATATATTGTTTACGTGATAAGCTGCAATAAAATGATGATTACAAACTCATGTACTTGTATTGTGGCACACATCTTCATTGATCCTTTAAGCATACATTAGATGGTTTTCCTTTGTATCTACACATCAGGAGGTGCAGTGATTACATTGTACATAAACAGGCTCAAACAAATATATGATTAATTTTTTGCTTTGGTATTCAGCTTGTGCCAAATTTTCGGACTGCTGCACAGCGTCAGTTCATCTGTTTTTGGTTTGAAGAGCTCCATCAGTTTGGAAAGATGCCCAAATCCGTCAGATAAGGTCCCTAAATGGTATGTTGACATCCTTCATTTGCTTTTCATAATCTTCATCAAACATCTTCGATTGCTCGGGTGTGAAATGGTTTCTCCAGTCACCTACTTCCCCTGTAAAGAGAGAAAATGCAGCACAACAGTGTTAGATATATAAATCAATCACTATATATGCTGTAGTTAGAAAATAACTGAGGAGCAAGTTCTTAATTTATTTTCCCTAAAAGCAGCAATTGTTAAACAGCAGGGCTGCAAAGATTTGAATCCTTATAGATTAATCTGCCAACTATTATCTCGATTATTTGATTAATTGTTGATTGGTGAATGAAATATCAGAAAACAGTGGAAAATGTCTAAAGATGACGCCTTCAAATAGTCCAAAACTTAAAGAAAGTCAAATTACTAGACTACGGGATGAAGAGAAACAATCGTATTTTCTGATTCATTTTCTGCACAAAGACCAACCAATTAATCAACTGAACAGAAGCAACGGCAAGAAATCCAGGAACCTCTAGGTGGCGCCACTACACTGTACACTGTGAAGTACAGGACGAAGACGAGATATGACACAATGCAATAACAGTAATGCGTCCTGTCTATGGGAAGCTTCTACTGTTGATTTGTTTGGAATTGATACATTCCCTGCTCATTTTGTTATTATTTTTGAATCAATATTTTGCTTATGGACAACACTAGGGGCACCTTTTCTCATGAAGGAAGAGATGGACTGATCAAAAACTGGTGCTGGGACGCAGGAGTAGTTGGCCATCGGGTTCTCCTTCATGTTCTTGAAGGACGTGAGCTCCACAATCCGGCTGATGACCTCATCAGAGACGGACATGTCCAGGTACCTCATGATGCGCTCCACCTCACGCCGAGGATTCTGTGGGGGTAAATAAGAAGGTAAGAGTATGTTGTACAACATGATTTGGTAATACGGAGTCCATGTGTTCTCTGTACCTCTTTCATGTCCTCATAGAAGAGGTAAAGGATGTTCTTCGTCTCTCTCTCCATCCAGTAACCTTTCACATGGTCATACCAGGAGCCCCATGGCACTGCAGAAACCAAATTCCTTGAGTATCCTTCATGTAACATTACTCCCAATTCAGTGAAAAGTTTGTGTCAACTTAGGTTGCAACAAATGTTTAATAATGTTAATGAATTTACTTATCTTTATAGATCATATAGGTCATTGACTTTTGGGTTGCAAAGTTGTGAAAAATCCTTTTAGTAAGCTCATTATTCACCGATGAACCGTTAATTACCTTCTGGGACAGGGCTGCAGGGAATCTGGACCAAAGTCCATTTATTAATAACCTGTTAATATATACAACTGCTGGCCAGATGTACTGTATCTTTGCAATAACCCTTATAAACAACATTGCAGACCTGTCAATGATTTTTGCTTTTATCTGATTCTGTAATTATTCTCTGTAGGTTCATAACTTTGAACGGCGCCTTTCACATACAAATAGTCATACTGTCCATTGTTAACATACAGATATGGAATAAAGACACTCAGATAAGTTATTAACAAATGTTTTTTTTTTTTTTACAAATTTACCACAAGGTCTGCAGTTGCAAATGTGAGTAAGTTGCTAATAAATAGAATTAGTGCCAGAAGTCTTTTTCCAGAAGGTAAGTGGTCTAACAGTCTTCAGGAGCAATCTTCCTGATAAATGAAAGAGCTGAAAAAGCAAAACACGTGTCATGCAGGTTAAACACCAGATGAAAGGATTTTTCACAATCAAGAAACCCAACTGATGTTATGATTTGTGTCTTGCAAATGATCTGTAAAGCATTAACAAAAGATTAGGCATTGGTACAATTAAAATTGCCTCAATAAAAAGTGGATTAGATATTAACAGTTTGACATACTGTATTCAAAACCTGCCAATTTACAACAGAGGTGATGTCAACTTTACCAAAAGCAAAATGGATCCCCCCAAAAATTGAAAATGCATCTGTAAAGTAGCAGCTAGTCTATTGCAATTGGACACCAAAGCAAAAAGGAAGTATAACAATACACCAGTTTAAATTCTTTTGCAGATCTGAAGGAACATTTTCTTCTTATTGGAATCACATTCCCTCTGCTGCCTCGCAGGGTGCTGCTAATCCTGTCATGGCCATTGAGGCCTAACAAGTTTCTCACGGAGGAAAAACAACGAGGTCAGGAAACTTATTCTGAGGTGTCGGATTGCCACCAGCCGCTTTGATATTCCTAAATTTGTATAAAATACATAAGCACTTCTGGCAGGTGTGGGTAAATGTACCAGTGTGGTGGTTATTTCTTGGTTCAGCTGGAAGCTTTGTGCAGACAGAAATAAGCAGTTTGAATAAAGGAAAGACGACACTCAGGAATGTGATTTAATCTACTTACACTCTCCTCGCATGAATTTGGGAATGTAGCCCTCCCAGGGACCGGGCTCAGGTTGGGTCAGATTCATACAATCAAAGTGGAAGTAGCTCACCAGGTTGTCTTTGGCGTTGCGTGCCACGTAGATAACCTTTACACACAATGAGGCATATAATTAGGGATTTACAACAACAATGCAGACAATGAGTAACCTGATGAGGCAGTTTTATGTATGACATTGTATTGTTAAACTCTCACCGCATTTATGTGCACTGCATCATGAAACATTAAACCTTTCAACACACATTTACAAACAATTAACTGCAGGATTTTGCTCTCAGTTGACTCAGTTTGAGTCTTACCTTGCACTTGTTTTCCCAAAATCCTGTAGGCACCAACTGAAGAGGAAGATGTGTCTTGATAATCCTTGGAGGATCCGTTATTTTCAGTTGATCAAGACCTGACACGTTAGTTCAGGGAAAAGGATATGTCAGGGACAAGGATATGTACGTATGAAAGTTTAAACACACCTTTTACACTCTATTTTATCTCATTGTTGTACTTTGTGATTGTTCACATTTTCAGTAATGTTTGATTAAGGGAATACATCAACATCTTGGGAAATGTATATTTGCTTTCTTGATGACAGTTAGATCAAGACAGTAGGGAGCCAGAAGTTGCTCCCAGACATCATTTTATTAGCAAGTCTGCACTGCCCAACAACAGGTATTTGTTCATCACTGCCCAGCACCAAACAAAAGGTAAAAGTATAGCAACTAGCTACAATAGTCAAGCATCTAGCAAGTGTTTGTACATGTGTAAGTATATCTCCCCAGTGGCCAAAACAATTAGACAGGAACCACCTGAGAACTTCAGTGATAAACTACATTGTCTTGGGTTTTTTTGACACCAGGGGAAACTGCAGTCTTTATATGTTTGAATCTGTTGAGCAGTTTGGGCATTGTTGGCACTGAAAGATATGTTTATTGGTTTAATAGCTTATTGACCCAGATTAAGGCGCTAGAAAACAAGCCGTTATGAAAACATTCTGATCTGAGTTCTGACTGTCACACGTAGTTCGAGGATGTATTTGGAAATAGTGTTTTAAGTTTTAGCAAAAATGAACACAAACTTGAAGGTCTTAATTAAAACTGGTCGACACAATCACACAAGTACAAACATAGCAACCTAAATACACACCTGAGGGGATGGGTGGTGGGGAGAAGAGCTCTAGGAAAGGACTGCGGACGGGTGTTGGGGCTCGTTTGCAGGCCTCAGCATCTCCGTTGTTTAGAAGCAGGTCAACTATCTCCTGGGTCCATGTGGTCCCTTATGTCCCCAAAACACAACACTGGGTTGAAGGAATAGGATACTTTCCATGTATTGAACCACACAGGTTTGAGGAGGAATCCCATCTTACACCCACAACAAAATAACCATCAAATTGACTCAAGTAAGTACAGTATGTATGTATGCGACAATTTTACAGAAATTACCACCTTGAAAGACGAACAAAAATCAGGATTTCAATATTATTGCTTTTCTGGAAGATATCCATATCAATTTAAAATGTTAGCCCTCACTAGAGTGGCTACTGTTTTGCTTGAAGTCATTTAGTTTATGTACTTTTTCATTGTTTGAAAAAGTATTGTCAGCTTCACGATGAGTGGCTCATCATGTTATGTACTCTCTTATAAATAGCTTTATTTCAGTGGTGGAAGAAGTATACTGAGATCCTTTAATTAAAAAAGTAGCAATACCACACTATGAAAGTACTCAATTGTGTGTTAAACTCATTGAAAATAAAAGTTTCATCCATAACAATGCATCCTATTTTATGAGATTAGGTATATGTTTAGCATGCAAACTCTAGACGTAAAAAGTAACTAAAGCTGTAAAATAAACGTAGTGAAGTCAAAAGTCTAATAGTTTCCTCTCATATATGACCATGACAGTAGAAGTATAAAGTAGCAGAAAATGTAAATACTCAAGTAACACTCAAACTTGTTACATTTCACCACTGGTATGTCAATAACAATACACTACATGAGACAAAAAACTGTCCTGTCCAAAGCTGATCACTCACTTAGACTTGAACTAAAGTACCTGCTTTGGGGTAGGTGGCGATGAGGAGGTCTGAGGGGTCAGGACGGAAAGCCCAGATGGAGTCCCAGTTGTTGGCGATGTAGCTCATGAGAGGAATTCCTCTGACTGGGATGAGAGGGAAGCGACAGATGTTGGTGCCTGCCCTCTGAATGGCTTCGCTGTAGGACAACTCTTTTTCCTTCGACATGACTGACGCTGTCGTGTTAGTCGAGCAGACCGGGAACCAGAAGCCAAAGTTCTTTTTTAAATGTGTACGGTGGTTCCTCCTGACGTCCCGTCTTCAGCAGCTTCTCTGACAGCTGGCTTTTGGTCCGTTGTCAAACATTCACTGTTGAATTGCCTTTATACACCAATGAATTCCAACTATCTCCTCCTGCTTTGTATTTGATTTACTGGTTCGGTCCCCTTGATGTCTTCTGGTTTCCAGCCTCAATCCTCTCCAACATCTAAAAAAGGAATCCGTCCTGAACCCCCAGCTGAAGCCTAAGTGCTTCAGTCACTCTAAAATGTGTTTCTTTCCCCCCTCTTTCTATCTTTGTAACCTGGCTGTCTGAGTGCTTGTACCAGGTTCCTGTCTGTCTGCGATCACAGGCGATCACAGGCGAGCACAGGCAGACCTATAAGTGCCCTTATATAACATTCCCAGTTACGTATGAATTCCACTTTTGCTCACAATATGTAAACTGCTTGCTGTGTAATTTGAGGAAGGGACAAGGGAGGGTCTTACAAGAGCCCTACACGCCACAGAGAGGCAAACTATGATCACACAAAGAGTACAGATGAAAACTAAACTTTTTGTGAGAGACGTGGAAAGCCTCCAACTGAAAAACACCTTTGGACCCAAACAGCACAGTAAAAGAAAAATCCAATGGCAGTAAAAGATAGCTTGACAAAGGTCTGCCCTTCCCATTTCATGATAAGATTGCGAAGCAGAAACGTGTTACAAGCAGCTGGACATGAAAGAGTTGAGCTAGAGTTTAGAACACACATTTCAGGAGTTCCACACTCAATATCCTGCTGAAGGTAGAAACAATATTTTCCCTGAAAATAAGCTCAGCGCGACAGTTGCTTAAAGCAACAAGAATTTTGAGTCCTGTATTTTTAAGTGCAGAACCTCATAAGAATAAATCTGTTGAATTATGTTCTAAATGACAGTTAAAAATCTAAACTGTAATTTCGCAGTTTTTTTTATAAAAGATGAAGAAAGTTAACAATGAAATGACGTCGCATTGTTATCTTTTTCCAAACCTAAAGTACGTTGCTTTGTTGCCAAAGCATTAATAAGTAATTTGCCATATTTTCTTAAACTTAACCAAGTAGTTTTGTTGCCTAATGAGGAGTTACTCTTTCCTAAGATTTCATACCACTATGAGGATGTACGTTGAGAGAGGCAAGTTGCTTGTGATTGGCTGAGAGGTGGGAGGGCACTGACATCACTGTCATGAAAAGTGACATGGAAAACATACTGGGGAAAAACGCCATCATTCTTAATTTTGTATTATTTTTAAATAACATTTTTAAATAAAAGCATGCTTGGCACTGGGCCAACTGCTGTAAGACCATGCTCTCTGTGAATCTTTTACAGTGTCACGATGACCTTTTCTTTCCAGGCAATAGTTACAGACCTGAGAGATAGACATTAGCTTTACTGAGTGTCGTAAAAAAAATGTCAGAGAGACATCAGTCAGATGAGAGCAATTTTTTAAATACCGTATGGAAGCATTAAGACAGAAATTAATGGTGAATGTACTTGAGGTCTGTGCCGTGTTTGTTTGTTTTCAACAATCACAAGTGTGAACTCTGCACAGAGGCAGAAGGGATCACGTCACTGTCACCAACACACTGTTCATCCTGTCTACTGTGAACCTCACAGACAGCCATGTCTGTTTACAACATGACACATTGTAAATCTCAGAATGCAAGTCTTAATGCTCAGCGCTGATTTTCTGCTCAGATCTAATGAGACTCATCATTTTTTAATGTTGGGGGTAAACTTTATTTTCCTGGCTGTTTACCTGTGTATTCAAACCAGTTAATAATTTATTCATAACCTGGTAATTTATTCTTCATGTCCAATGATATTTTGTACAATCCCTCCTTTAGATGTTTGGTAAGTAGGCTCAGTTATCTAAAAAGAACAAAGCAACAATTTTCATAGGGCTCCTCTCATAAATAAGCGAGAACAGACACAAATGATACAAATTATATCAAGGGATATATTGTTCACCTCTTATTGGCATTTGCTGCAGTCTGCAGCCTTGTAGGGTGTTACAAAGTCATGGCCACTGATGCATACTCAGTATCTCATAAGGAAAAACAGTGAGTTCAAGAAATCAGCTTACTGATACATATAGTCATGTAGCCGTATAATCTTTAAGAAACTTTGAACAAATTGTAACAATCTGTTTGATTGGAGGTCAGGAATGTGATTTAATCTACTGACACTTCTTTCCTGAACTTTGGCGCGTTGCCGTCTCAGGGTCCATGGCTCAGGCTGGGCATCGCGTGTCACGTTTAAACTTTACACATGATCAGGTGGGAGAAATGAAGGCAGGATTTACACAAACAACACAGAGAGCAGGTAATCTGATGAGACATGTGTTGTTGGCATTGTACTGTGGTTGATACTTGATAACCCTTGGGGTTACCACTTTCCCCATTACATACATTTATGGACGTAGATACGGAAACACACTTCTATTCACATGGCCGAGACCATTGTGGTTGTACACTGACCACACAGGGGCACTGCTTTTCCTTCACCATTTTTTCCTTCATGATATGTGTAGGCTTCAACTGTTTATACCTCTGTACAATCCAGACACAGGAGGCATCAGAAAAAAGCAAATACAGCAAAACAACTTCATGACCTATTCAGTTATTAACTGCTTTGGCTAGTTTCTTAAGGAGAAATCACTTAATGTGTATGCTAAACTCGACTTATCTAACTGAAGTCGGGCATTTTGGAGCTGAGGAAAATACACTCATTTGATTGCATTTGGAGTGGATATTAGGGGGACAAGTCCCTGGGAGAAATATATGGGAGTAAAGCTCAACTCAACCATAACCTCGGATAAAGTCAAATTTACAGTCCATGTATTTTGGAATATTGTACAAAGTCAAAAGCTAGTAAATGCAATGGCATGTACTGTAAGCATAACCATGAGGACCAGTGCTGGTTACATGAACAAATATAATACAATGATAAACAACTTAACTAATAGATACCACCATAACCTCCCAGTTGATTATTTGTATTACAAGTTTTCTGAAATTATATTTCTACATGCAAATTAAGAATATTTTTATTAAATATATGATATATGGAAATATTTTCAGAATAGAAATCTTAACATTGGATAAAGCCATGATCAAAATTCTTGTTTCATTTTGTTGACATACAGCCAAAGGTTTTTACAAAACGGATTTTGGATATCTCTTGTATCACTCAATAAATCATAAAATACTGTAAACAGAGATTTAAAAAAAAAAAATTCTCATGTTTTTAGGAATAAAAGTAGGATATAAATGATACATGAACAACCCACAGGGGGGAAAAACAATATAGATACTTCAGGGAAATAGGGGGAAATAAGTTAACCAATAACCATACCATAAACAGTTGATTACTTACATTAAGACACTTATTTTTTTTATTATTACAAGTTTTCTGGAATCTTATGTTTAAATATGCTAATGAGGCACAAATTATGCTGACATTTGGTGAATTGGGTGAAATCTACAGACGCAAAGTTTAGTTAAATAAAACTCTAAATGTGTATTTTAGATGTGACATGTTATGGGAGCAAAATAACTCAAAATCTTTCAATTGACAAGTGCATCAAAAACAATGTGTTGCTTCTGGTGTCTCGGAAAAAAGTTGGGAAAATATCGTTCTCCTAGTTGACAGGTTTTATGGTAGTTTTATCTTAGAAACGGAAGTCACCGTGACGACTTCCTTGGCAACAAAAAGAAGCTCTTTGGTGTATCTATGTAGCATGTTTAGCGTTAGCAAAATGCATCAATTGAAGAAGTTTTCTGAATTGCTTAATTTATTTAAACGCCCTTTTATTTTACTGTAATAATTCATAAGTGTGAAGTTGTGACGAGTGACGTAGCGTTAGTGGAAACAATTCCAGCTCAGCTAACGTTAAGTGTAAAGTTAACGTTAGCTTGATAGCTAGCTAGCTAAGTTAACGTTAGACTTCGCACTGTTGATACACATATTGTATCTATGTTGGACCGCACCATGTCTCTTTGAGGAAATGAATTTTCGCCAGTGGTATTGTTCATTGCAGATATGCATCGTCTTGTGTGGACGTTTGGCTCGCGCAGCCACAGATGCAGGGCCCACTTCAAGCGTCACTCCCACTCCTGTTATTGGGGACTCTTTCAGCTCAGCAACCCCTGCTCCGGGCGGCACAGCGGCCGTGGACGTCACCAGTGTCGGCACCATTGAGGCGGTCACTCTGGCCTCCACTCTGGACTCCACCCCTGGGTCTGAAGCTCCCACTGTAGTCACTGAGGCGGCCCCTGCAACCACCGTCCAACCTCAGTTGACTTCAGAAGGTAATTTACACTACACCTGCCTCCTGTTATATTTCCACTCTGCGTCTTTTGTTTGTTAGGCCAAGTAAGCCTCTTACCCTTGTTTTGATGCTTTGTATAAACAGGTTCTACCTGATCCATCAAACTGTCTCCCACTGTTTATACAGGCTAGACCCAATTTATTTCTGTAGATCTATGCCTGCCCAACCCTTTCATCTGTTTTTCAGGCTCCCCTTTGTAAAGCCACAGTGCTTTTTAAAAATACAATTTGTCTATAAAACCATCTTGTATTTGTCAGCTTTAAAATGATTTGCCCTTTATCTGTTGTGCAATGACAGTTGCCTATTGTAAAAGCTGCTGATGTTGAGAAACCATTTATTAACAATATATCAGATCCTCATGAAAGACTCTTAATTAGAGCTTCTTTAGTAAATATTAGTATTGATCCTGGTCCTTTACTTTCTTTTTCAAACCTTTTTTATTGGGTTTTGTAGGGTTATGCAATATTTGCATCAATATCAAACAATCGCTGTTTGTAATGTGCCATCAAGGAACAAATATAGATTCATAAAAAAGTGAGCAGCAACCCCGCTAGACCCAGAACAATAGATCTAAGTCCTTTCCAATACGGTCAATCAGTACAGTACAGTAAACTTGTTGACATAGCTTAAGATTCTAAAGTGTATCCACTGTTTTCTAGCATCCTCTTGTTAAACCAGTGAACCTCCTAACATTCTGTAATTTCACACAGAATTGAAGTTGTCCCGACTGACTAACACAAGTCTTTTCTATTGTTTTCCAGGTTGTCTCTGTGATTTAACGCCTGATTTCTGTGACATTGGCTGCTGTTGCGACACAGTTGACTGTGGCATTGCCAACTTGAGAACTGTCTTCACCGGATGTCCTCAGAAAGCCATGTAAGTCTTCTGCACATGCTCTAAAAAGTATATAGCACATAAAGCAGTTTAGTATTTACATGTGTTATCTTATTTTACAGATCAGGAGTTTGCATTGAGAAATGGCTGATGTTCATGGCTAATGTGGATGCGTCTCTTGTCACTGTGACTGACTCCTTGTTTTGTGTCAGGCCTGAGGGTAAGTAGAAGTATTCATTTGAAATGAATTAACAATCATCAGTGCCGTCACGGGGGAAATCACTGATTATGTTACAGATCATTTTGTAAGAGCTAACAATGAGCAACATAAAAAGTATTCCCAACTAATGTAGTTAAAAATCTGCATCTCCCAACAGATAATGCAACCCAGCCCCTCCAAGCTCCACCGCAGTATCCAGGTTTAGGGGACTCGTACCACTTCTCACCACCACCACCTACCAGCAGCAGCCATAGCAGAGGCTTCTACAGGGTAACCGGATATCATGTTTCTAAAGGGTTAAAAAGTGATACGCTGAATCGTAGAGTGTATCTTTAGTAAATTAAATGCGTAAAAAAAAAGACAAATTTTTGTAGGTTGACGATGTCATCCAGACATATTTCTCCAGCTCGACCGTGTGGGGTCTCCTCCGTCAGCCATCTCCAGGGGCTGCTGCTGCATTCTGTATCAACAGCAACCCTGCAAGTAAGTTCACACCAAATAAAAAGAATGTTAGCAGAGATTCCCCAAATATTTTCAAATCCAGACCTGCCATCTCGGTTACGTTTTGTGCCAGGGACTTTGTCAGTAATTTGACTGAAGACCAATGATGTCCAAGCTCAAACTAAGTCTGCAGGCATTTTCTTTAGTGTACCATATTCACCATATTCACCATTGTAACTCTGTTTTTCTAAACACCTTCTGTTGTCCTCTGCTTGCAGAGTTCTTGAGGTCTGAGTCTCTGTCTTGCACCCGCATGTTGACTCCTCAGTCGTGCACCACGGATCCAAATTTCAACGCCCGTTCCTACTTCTCTGACCTGAGCCTGATCAAGGTCATCAAGTCCTCATGCTTTTACGTTAACAAATACTGGTGAGAATCTCACAGCAGATAGGCTAACATCAATATTTTCTATTACAGATTCCAACAGTTGAGACGGCACAGGTGTCAGACCTTCTGGTAAGTTACTGATCGTACATACAGCTTAAAGCCATACATGGTATTAGAAGGAACAATTTCATTTTGCACTTCACATGCCTCAGCACAAGTTTATCATCAGTCAGCCTACGATATCAGCATTTGGGGTTTCCTGACTCTTGTTTCAGATCCCAGTTACTCCTCTGTCTGACTGGCCTGCACCAAGTGAACAGAACAACTCATGTGTCAATGTGGTGAAAAATGTGAGTAGATACAAATTTGTGATGTTTTTTTTTTTTTCCTAAATCACAAATTTGTCAAACTAAGTTCTCCTTTTCCTGATTCTCCCGTAGGTTGAGTTTGTCATAGGATACACAGGCAGAGGGGAACTCACACATGTAACAGTGAACGTGGTCTTAGCTGATGTGGATCCAAATCAGTCTCTGTTGCAGACACACTCTGTACAGTTTGAGGTAGCCTGTTAAAGCCACAGATTGCATCACTAAATGAATCACTGTATGGATTCAATCAGTACGATAAATACCATTTCTCTCTCCCAGCTGGCCACACCCAGCTCAACTTCAGGAGGTCCAATCCCTGCTGTCGGAATTAAAGTGGGATCTCCTGTCATTGGTCGCTTTGATGGAGAATTGAAGCCTGTATCCTTACAAACAACATCATCAACTTCTCTTAAAGTTATTGTTTCATTCATCCAGCTAGTTCTGCGTCAATCAGGCACCATGGTTCCTTGACAGTGAGTTAGCTGAACACACTGGGGGTGTCACAGAGTGGCGAGTGTTCCTCTGACCCCCGCAGACGAGCACCCATCCTCTTCGCACACAACACCATCACTGGCTGCACATACAGGTGAGTACGCTATCTTGCTTCGCCTTCATCATATAGTTATAACTGATGTTTCTTACATGAAGAGTAGTGGTGGAGTTGCTAAAAATGAGTCCCAGTATTAGAAGTTATAATGATGCAATGGTGAGTTTTATTCAGTCTTCTATATGTCACTTCACTCTACCTGTGTGCTGTTTAGCTCTCCGTCTAGCGACTGCTCAGAGCTGCGTTCCCACATGTACGGAATCCTGCAGGGTCTTGCTACTCCTGAGGTGATCGCCATGAACTCTGGTTCCCAACCGGACTGGACTAGAGTCATATCACAGGAATGTCCTGTCAGCCTGCAGGTACAGCTGAATCACGAATTTCACATTTTTAAGAACATTCAAGAACTTTTGAGTGTTATGCTTTTAGAATGATCTGAAAGTTGTGTGCCTCTGGTTTGAATTTAAAAGCTTGTGTTATCCTATTTACAGTGACTTGTTTTTTTCCCTCTCACAGGAAACATGTGAATCAGGCTGCGTCCTCCCCAAGTCTCTCTCTATCCGTGTACTGTGGGCCCGCCAGGGTCTCTTAGACCTTCCTCAGAACTACATCCTGGGGGCCAAATATCTATTCCAGTGTCAACATTTCAAGGTAGGCACATAATATACTTCTCACTGTGAGGCCAGCATCAGAAATTCTTATTTCATGTGCAGCACACATGAAATAAGAAATATGAAAAGAATATGAAATTGAACCTCTATGAAAATGTCCAAATACTCTCCTCCTGTCTTTTTTTCCAGTGTCCTACATCTTCCCCTATTTCTCTAACCACTGAGGTGACGTTTGTCGACAGTACAGTTTACCCAGAACCCCCCAGGGGCTCGCCTCAGCCTAACTGGAAGTTTCCGTTTAGTTTCTTCACAAGCGGCACTGCTGAGCTGGATGGGCACATCGTCATTAACGGCAGTGTCACTGAGAAGATCACATGGGGTTTAATGCTCACAGTACTGTTACTAACAGGATTAGAGTTCTTCACTAGGTAGTTGCATAACATTGGAGGAAGTAGTTGTATATAAAAGATGTTGATATGTTTACTATGTAATTTTATTTTGTAATGTTTTTTTTACAATACAAAGAGGTATCTTTCCCAAGTAAAACAAATACCGCAAATTTTTTCTTTTGTACATTTTCAGGAATAAATACATTTTTACAAGACATTGTATGAGTCGTCATATCACTGAGGTAAAGATGCATTTCTTGCAGACTGCTCTGCTTTTCTCTCTTCCTTTCGGTCTGGTTTGTCTCTGCATGTTCTCCTCTCTTTTTGTCCTGTGTGGCGGATGTAGTTGAGGAGATGGACGATTGCAGCTGGAGTCATACCTTGCAAACGAGTAGCAGCACCCAGCTGGAGGAAAAGCATGGTATTAGTTTCATAATCCAAGCGGCTAAAAGAACGAAATGTTATTCGTAAGCAACAAATACTTTATACTCACAGTGCTGGGTCGAACTCTGTCCAAAATCTCTCTGACTTCCTGAGACAGAGACACCGGCAGAGATAAATAGTTTATGTCCTGAGGAAGAGACATGTTCTCCTCCTTCTGAATTCTCTCAATTTCTTTCTTCTGTAGGTTGCAGTGAGGCCTGTACACAGCTAAATGAGAGGAGACGTTTTTTATCGAGCAGGAATGAACTATGTTATGGTAGCTTAAAAGAACACAATATCAAAGCAACATTTTTAGGAAACGAGGAAGGGGAACCTCGTCTTCATGACTCCTTCTTTTCTGCCTCAAAATGGCGAAAGCAGTTTTTTACCTTCTATCTTGATTCTTTGTGAGAATTCCATGTGAGGTGAAAAGCACTCTGGGAAGGCAGATGCCAACATTTCAAAGGACACATCGTTGTACTGCAGCACGTCCATACCACTGAAAAAGAAGCCACGAAGTCAGGACCAACGGTCGAACACTTTTGATTGACTCTTGAGATTCAGGCGGGCAAATTCTGGTCCATTGCAGTGGTGTATTCACATATTTGTCACTCACGTCAGCAAGGTGTTCTTGTTCTCACTCATGCGCATGTCGGGCAGTTTTTTTCTCCAGCTGTGGGTGGACAGAGCGAGAGCCTGAAGGGCTGCCAGTGCATCCTGCAAACTGTCCCTAACTCTCACAGTCTCCTGGTAGCGCACGGTGGACACACATCCCACCTCCTCAAACCCTGGCAGAGGAAAATGTTTATAAGAGGATAAAAACAAAAAAAAGCAGATGGTAGAACAAATCGTGGGACCCAGACACTATGCCTACCTTTCAGAGTTAGACGGAGGTCAGCGTTGTCCGGCCTTAGGGAGGTTCGAAACTCAGCCCGGCTGGTGAACATGCGGTAGGGCTCTGTAACTCCTCGACTCACCAGATCGTCAATGAGAACTCCAATGTAGCTCTCTGTCCGAGACAATGCCATCGCAGGCATGGAGAGCGCCCAGCGGGCAGCGTTCACCCCCGCCCACAGGCCCTGCACAGACGGAAACAATAGTACTTGTGTGAGCATAAGGCAATGTGAGTTCAACAACATTTGCCACAAGGAAGAAGAACCTACCTCCACTGGACAGCGAGGCAGAAGCAGAAGACTCACTGCATGTTGTATGACCAACAGTATTTGTATGAATCTTGAATTGCTAAATAAGGGGAAGATAAAAATGCAGCTACCTGTGCAGCAGCCTCCTCGTACCCTGTTGTTCCATTAATCTGACCGGCCAGAAAAAGTCCCTGGGTGCTTTTGACCTGCAGGGCAGGGCTCAGCTGAGTGGGACACACAAAGTCATACTGAACACCATAACCTGGAAAATATAAGAAACATCCAGTCAACACGGTACATGCAGACTTTTCTATGTACTGTAAATCAATTGTTACTATGCAGATCACACCGCAGTGTACCGGGCGTGTGGATCTCGGCTCTGTGCATGGCCGGAATTTCTCTGATGAGGCGGAGCTGCACGTCAGGGGGCATGGTCATAGACAGACCCTGAGGGTACAACAGGTCAGAGGTCACCCCCTCGGGCTCCAGCCACACCTGGTGCTGTCGGCCTGGGAAGCGAAGCACCCGCGACTCAATGGAGGGGCAGTATCTGTGAAATACAAAGACTAGAGTTGTTACTTTTGAGTTTCAGAACACACTGTACAGTTTGTGTGTGTGTGTGTGTGTGTACCTGGGACCCTTGGCGTCTTCCTGTATGTGACAGTTGAGATGAATACTCTCCCTCACCACTCTCTCTACACCAGGAGTAGTATAGGTCAGGTAGCAAGGCAGCTGCTCTTCAGGCTGAAGAAGTCATTAGTTCCAAAATAAGAGTAGAAATTGAAAATAATTTAGAAGTCCTTTTGTTGACTAAACAAAATCTTCTACACTATTGAAACTATGAAGCTTTTCCTTTAGTACCAGTGCTGAAAGAACTTTACAGTGTAAACTCTACCTTGCAGTGTGTGTGTGTATTGAGGAAGCTGAATGGAGTTGGATGGCTGTCAGGGGGATGTACGTTCGCCAAGGAAAGGTCCACTGAATCCTTCACAATCCTGGGAGGGGTACCAGTCCTCAGTCTGCCTGTCCTTAGCCCCAGCGTCTCCCTCAGTGTCTGGGATAGTCCAGCACTCGATGGAGCGTCTCCAATCCGCCCCCCAGGGGACGTGCTTTGGCCCATGAAGAGGGAGCCAGACAGGAAAGTACCAGTAGTAAGAACCACTGAGCTGGCTGAGATTGGGTGGCTTACATTTGCTGAGAAGTTGTCAAAAGAGGTGCAACATCATGACACATGGTTGCCATTGTGTATTAATTGTTGTTAATACATTTCAAATAACTTGACTTGACTTAAACTGACTAATAGACGAGTAAAGATAAACTAGCCATTATTTGTAAGAACTTCTTAATTTCATTTAAACATAAATCCCAGTGTAGGATAAAATAGCTAAGGTAAACATTTGTTCCCTACCCAAACGTATCCCAGTGACTCGGTGGTGTCCAGGCTCCTCTGGGTTTGGTTCTGATACCAGCAGCTCCTCCACTGAGCCCTCCAACACCGTCAGCCTGGGAGTAGACAGCAGCTCAGACTGAATGAGAAACATAGTTAGCACCAATTTTAATTCTGTCACGGAACAAAACTCTGAACAATAAACCACATCAGTATATGAGATACCTGAATAAATTCCCGGTAGCGCTGCCGGTCCAGCTGGGCCCTCGGGCCCCACACAGCGGGGCCTTTTCTGCGATTCAAGATGGAGAAATGGATGCCAGCCCAGTCTCCTGCTCGACCACACAGCCCATCCAGAGCATCTATCTCTTTCACCAGCTGGCCCTTCCCTACTCCTCCCAGAGATGGGTTACAGGACAGGGCACCTGGGGGGATGTAAAGAGAGAAGGAATTCATTTTAGTGGGAAAAAAACACTCTAGATTGGACAAAGAGAAACATTTTTGTAAAGAGCAAACGGTCTCTTTCTCTCACCAATGGTTTGTATTTTCTGTGAGACCAAGAGAGTCTCCGCTCCCACTCTGGCTGCTGCAGCCGCTGCCTCAGTCCCTGCGTGACCACCACCCACAATAATGACATCGTACTGCTGTCGGGCAAGGTGACTGGCACGTCTGGAAACCAGCGACAGGAAACTCTGCAGGGCGGGAGGCTTCTTTGTCAACATGTGGGATGCATAGCTGTAGAGTGAGGGTCAGACGGTCAGAAATGTGGACATTGTGACTCTTTAATCGGAGCAGAACAGAGTGAGGGCAAAGCCGCTTTAATCTTTGGTTAAATAGAAGTTACTTGATTCCTAAGTAGAAAATGACTCCGTCAAAAGTAAGTCAGACATGCTTCAATAGTTTAATACAATTGTGATTTTAAAAAGTGTGGAGGTATTCATGGTAAGATTTACCAGTGCCCGTACATTTCAATGGTTCCTTATGAAGTGTTACATTGTTGTTGCATCAGGTCTGATATTTAACAATTCTTTTGATATTTAAAATTAATTTATGATTAAATCTAGTGTGATTGGCATGCATTTGAGCCATGGTTCTCTATGAAAGACGATCCTAACACCTTTCAAGCCTTTAGGGGTGACTATTTGACATTAAAAAAAAGCATATTTTTACTTAAATGATCAGCATATGGGTTACTTTCCACTCAACAGCACTGGCCAAACTGTATACTCCTCATTTCTGAGTGTTAATATCATAGCATGTAAATACCCGTTAGAGATACAAACTCCACGTATATTTTAATTGGATCAGAAGATTGACAAATCCTTTCATATGTAGGCATACACCTAACAGTTCTTTGTACGTATGTATGGGTTCATTGCAACTACTAAATCACTTCCGAGTATAAAATTAAGGTCTACTTACGACTTCTTTGGCAAAGGATGAAAGCAATCTTACGTTTAATGACCAGAATGATGTCAGAAGAAACCAAGACTCAAGGAAAGATGAAGATCGTTGAGGAAATGACCAAATCCCTGCTATGTAACACAAACGCTGTTAATGGAGGCTGCCATGTTGTTTGCAGCTTACAGTCGTAATGACTGGTGTATAGACGCACTGACAAAGTTGTTTTACTAGTTCTAGTCGGTTTGCCTAGGCTTTGGCTGTCCTTTAAAGTCATTGATGAATGCATGAATGAAATAAAAAACAAATAAAAACATAAAGAAAGCAACAGCAACATACGCACGAATAGGCGGAAGGTGAAGGTGGAATTCATAAATATCAACGTAATACTTTGTAGGCAAAACAATATTTATGTTTTGCTTGATGGCTGCCACGTGTGCAGTAGAAACCACACATTCTTGTTTATAACAGAGACAAATAAGGATGAATCAAGTATCGATTCAATGCACACATCATGCCATATGTACGCGCGCTCACTAGTAGGTCCATGGCGCACGCGCACGTTAACGCCCCCTCCCCCTTTCAGCCGGTTTCCAGTCAGCCGCGCGCGGATTGAGTCAAGTGAACCTACCGAGAGGTGGTGTTGACCGACCGCAGCAGGTTTTCAGTAAGAAACCTGAACAATCTAACTTCATTAAGTAACTGACAGTAACGCCACGGCCTTCTCTTTTTAACGGAAGGGTCAGCGGTGCCGCAGTCAAGGCGACGCGACAGAGAGAAGAAAGTAGATCCCGGAGGGAAAGCGCCCGAAGTGAGCTTGAGGATCAAAGCTAATGCTAAGCTAGCCAGCCATTGCTTAATAATTACACGGAAACTCGTGTCATTTCATTCCTCGCTTGCTTTGACATAACCGCTGTGGTTATAAAGTAGATAGTTAAGGGGGAGTTGATAAGTTATATGTTACGTTTAACTAAAATAGCGAGGTGTTTTGCCTTTACATTCTAGGCCACAAGCGACTCGTAGTCACTTAGCAAGAGTACCGTTAGCTCAGTAGCCGGTCTCATTGAGGTTACACCGGCTCTGCGGTCTTCGGGACAGGCGATATCGCTAAAGATCGTTAGCTTTCAAAGCAAGTGAAGTATCAGTGTTTGTAAGTTAGCTTAACCGTACAATTGGTAGTGTCAACGCATTTTGCTTTGCAATGCTGAAACAACAGCAGCAACCCGGCTCAGGCGGGAGAAAAGCGTCCAACGGAACCTCCTCGGGCCCTGGTGTGTCTCCTCCAGTCAGCGGCATCAACAGCGGCAACAGGACACCGGCCGGGAGGTAAGCGGGCTGGGGGGTTTCTGTCGGGACAGTCCGGGGATTGTCCTGGTACTTGTGAGGCCTACCGGTTAGGGCGCTGTGTGCTCAGTGGGTGTTTCTCGGACGTAGAGCCTCGCTCTCTCTTCAGGCCAATGAGATTAGTTCTTGTTGGATTGAAAGAGGCTGTGGACCAATGAGTGCCCACATTGAATCGAAGATTATAAAAAATGAGGTTGGTCCGGTTTGGTGAAAGCACCAGGTCATAAGTGGTGTAAGTCACAGAGATGCGTGTTTACTGAACTTGTGCCACCCTCGTCTCAGTCTTTGTTTTGTAACCGTGTGTGACTAACACTGATACCTTCCCATGTGTGTATTCTTCATGGAGGAGTCACTTAGTATCAAGAGTGATCTAATCCCATCGTTCACTGTAGTCAAATTAAAAACTTTGTTTACTCTAAGCCACAAAGATGGAAGGTGCATGTGGAAGCCTGGCAGTAACTCAATACAGGTAGCAAGTATCTGTAAAGTAGACATTCATAGTAAGTTATTCTAGAGACCAAGTATACACTGTAGACTTTCAGTGCAGTAGGAATGCTGATGTGGGAACTTGTTAGGCCTCTAAGTAAACTTGTCGACGTCTCCTAACCGAACTATATGTTGTATGTATGTGTAATGTGACACTGCCTTCACAGGCTTTGAAAACAAGTTATACTCCTTGCGTTTCTGAGCAGACATATTTTAACTGTGCTGTTTTCCACAGGAATCGGACTTCTGTAAAGCCATCATTCCAGTCGTCTCCTGTGAGTATCCTCAGAAAAGTTGGGCAGCAAACAAACACGCACCACATATTGTGCAATATTGAAGAAATGTCTTTTCTTTAAGTCACAATCCATCACCATCTTGATATATTTGAGGTGTAATCGCATACGATTTTCATTTTTAGAGAGGCCGTCAGCATTTGTGGGTCCCTGAAGTGATCATTATTTTAAATGTACGGATGTTTTTTACTCCTGTGTTTACAAAGATTCCTGATGTAAAACACATTGTATATGATCAGAAACTGTTGTGTGAGTGAAACTACAGTCAAATGTAATCTGATACCAGGATTAAACCTCTGACGACAGTCTATATGAATGGGTCAGAACCTCAGTTCGGGATAGTTTGTCACAGGCCTAAGCGGTTGTCCCTGCCCTAAAACGCATTAAACCATGTTTTTTTAGATGCAACACTGTGTGATGGTTTTTATGTCATGTCTTTGTGTAACTCTGCTTGATGGTACTTAATCTTTTCCTATCCGCAGGTGTTCGAGGGAGTGTACAACAATGCCAGAATGCTTCACTTCCTCACAGCTGTTGTCGTAAGTCATTTGGCTTGTTATCAATGTTCTCAGAAACATGATTTTTCTAGAAAATAACTGCCTTGCATGGTTAAAAAGCCTTTTCCATACGACTCCGGCATGTAAGAGGCAGGCTATGCATCCTGTGTCAACGCTACCCCTGAAAATATGCATAATTAATCCACAAATACTGTTCCATTTTTGGAAGTGTTTCTTATCTAAATAACAATTTGTTTGTGTCAAAATTTTCTGATCACGTCTCAGGGTTCCACCTGTGACATACGAGTGAAGAATGGCAGTGTATTTGAAGGCATATTCAAGACTCTCAGTTCTCGGGTAAGACGCTAACATCATGTACTTCCCTCTGCCAATTTAATGAAGCACTGCAAGTAATTCTGTCTCCATTAAGGTGAACCTTTCAAGGGAAAAAATGGTCTTTTCTTCAGTTGTTTTAAGTCATCCTGTGCAAGCTCACACAGTCCTCCAATATCATCTTAACGTTTGGTCCGTAGTGCGAGTTGGCTGTGGACGCTGTACACAAGCGCAGTGAGGAGCAGAGCCCAACATCACTTCTGCCAAGGAAGGAGGACATCACTGACACGATGATCTTCAGCCCCTCAGACCTTGTGACTATGATCTGCAGAGACGTTGACCTCAACTTTGCTACCAGAGGTACAAACAAAAGGGCCTTGTGGGGCAACAGGGGAGTGAAAATAATTGATATTCTGTAACGTGGTTAAAAGTAAACGATGATAACATAATGATACGCAATTTTACATTTTCAGACCCATATGATGCTGGCTGTAAACAAATCTGGCCAAATTAAACACTCAAAGAATGTTTCATCTTTTTTTTTTGTCTTGGATTTTAGACACCTTCACAGATACAGCCATCAGCTCCACTCGCGTCAATGGAGATCACAAGGATAAGGTTTTGCAGAGATGGGAGGGAGGAGACAGCAACGGAGAGAGTTACGATCTGGAAAATGATGCAGTGAGTCTCTTTAACGCACACTTAAACACCAACATGTCCCATTCTGAGCCATTTGATATTGAGAATCTGCCACTTCAGGGTCCCAATGATACCTTTTATTTTCTTGATGTTACAGCTGCACAGTGCACACTTGAAATGCATTCAAGTCATTAAAAGACATTAGATTCGTCTGTGCATGAAAGCATTGTGAGTAAAAACAGTTGAATGGAGGATCGGTTTGTGCTCGGTATAGCTGATACCAATCAGTTAAAACGTGCCTTGATCAAAACATTACCGATTTTGGGGATCGGATCGGGACGTCCCGACCAACTAATCATCTAATGATTCCCTTTGGACCCAGAAATGGTGTAATAATATGCACCCTCAGTTATACACACTTCATACAAACAGGCTCTTATTTAGTTGATTATTCATACCTCAATCAAAGAAACAAGTGGACAGTTTATCTTGACTGCTTTATCAATTTAGCATTATTTGAAAGTACTGATTTATTTTTACTCCATTAATCTCTTTTTTTGTTTTTATTTTTCAGTCCAATGGTTGGGATGCCAATGAGATGTTCCGTTTCAATGAAGTGAAATATGGAGTCACGTCAACATATGATTCCAGCCTTTCCATGTATACGTAAGTTTCCAGAGGGAGTCATTGGGAAATATTGCGGGCTTTGTGCATCAGGTTACCATTGCAGCTGGGCGGCAAACGGCACCCTGAATCTTTCTTTATCCCTCATTATTACCTTTAAGTCTGAATATTTATGACAATATAATCATCAATGTTCCAGTGTGCCGCTGGAGAAGGGCAACTCTGATGTGTTTCGTCAGAGGGAGGCACGTGCCGCTCGCCTGGCCAGTGAGATCGAGTCCAGCCCCCAGTATCGCCACCGTGTCGGCCTGGAAAATGATGAGGGCAAAAGTGAGGAGGACAAATACAGTGCTGTGGTGCGGGACGGCAACGATCGCGAGAGGGGCCGTGAAAGCCCCCGCGACAGAGAGCGCGAACGGGGCCGGGACAGCCCCGGAGCCAGCACCAGGTGAGAGGGGCCGGTCGTTTTGTGGGCATGCAGAGACTAGTTGTCATCATGTTTCTATGCACCAGGCAGTTCTGACGGTGTAGTATCTCTTATATCTCCTGCTCTTCCTCTGTGTGATGTATCATCTGTCTCTTACAGAGAGGGCAAGTACATTCCATTACCTCAACGACAGAGAGAGATGAACCGGGAGCGAGCTGAGAGAGGTCCCGGTGGTCCTCCACCCCACAATCGTCTAAGCGGAGGTTATCGGTCCAACCCTCCATCATCCTCCTCCCCCAGACCCCCACTGCCCTCTGCTGCTGGCCCCCAGTCTGGCATCTCCCCCTCAGAGAGAAACAGCCCCCTGTCAGGCCGAGGTGGAGCCTACGCTCCCCACCACCCCCAGGGAAGCCCAGGCCCGAACACACCCGCCTCTCAAGGAGGACCAGCACCCACGCCAGCCTCTGCTTCTGCTGCTCCATCTCCATCCAGCCCCCCCGCCCCACACGGACATACGGTCCCTCATTCCCACTCACTCCCACACTCGCTGTCTGATGCTGGCAGGCCTGTTAATGGAGGTCAGTGTTTAGACAGCATCTTTGCATGTTTCTAAGGCGGTAGGAATTGTGATAAACTGTTTTTTTGCCCTTTTCAGTCTCCAGAACATCTCCTAAAGCCCAAAGACCTCCACAGTCGAGCAGAACAATCCGTGCTTCAAACTCGCATGCTCAGTCCACAGGTACCTTCAGTCAACTGCTGTTACAAAATCCTCTTCTATATTATTGATTGGTTTTTGCCTAAAAGCTTTATTCTTCACGGTCTTGTCCTTGCAGCTGCTCGTTCTCCTAAATCAGGTTCTTCCCAGGACACGCCTTATTTGGACACATCGTCTGTCTCCATGCCTCCCCATAAGGCGTCTGGCCCCGCCCCTCTCTTCCCCGTCGATGGTACTGTCTGACTTCTCGCCTCCTGTTTTATAGCTTCGATTTTGAAATCAAAGTCGATACCATTTTTCTGTGACGACGTGATCTTCATGTGCCATCACCCCGTTGCAGTACGCCGCAGCTATCCAAGATGGAATCTAATGATGAATTATTGCTTCAACTAATTAGTTTGTCTCGTCTTTACAGTGAATGAGATCCTCGGCGCAAAGGAACGCGCCGCCGAGATCCAGAGCAGCACAGAGGACGGCAAGAATAGTAAAGGTGTGTTTATAAGACTAATGATACGTTTTGAGAAATTAGGCTTTTAGTTTGACTTGAAATCAGAAGATATACAATCCACTTGTTGTTGCATTCCTTGTATGTTTTTGAAAACATGTCCCGAGTTTGCCGGTTCCAATTTTTCACATTTTGATTAACGTTTGTTTCCTCTCCTCTACCAGCTCCCTCTGTCCAGCAAAGGTCGCAGATTGAGGAGCTGCGTAAATTTGGCAAGGAATTCAGGGTAAGAGCTCAGCTGCCTTTCCACGAAGTGTGAAATTAAAGAAGCTGTGACCTGAGCCGTCACTGATGTCACACGAGTTCTTTAAAACATCACTTGTGTTTTATTCACTGGGGTGTAACCATTGATGTGTTTCCCATGACATTGAAAGTATCTTCTCTTCAGTTAATGATTTAGATTACATTTAGATGCATACATTAGAGCACACTCGTCTGTCGCCTCCGTCCCTCTTTACCTCTCTTTTATTTTCAGCTCCAGCCGAGTGGAGGCAGCTCTAGCTCGCCCAGCTCCCCAGCGACCGCTACTCCACCTGCCGTCGGCGAGGTAGCCCAGCGCTCGCCACCAGACGCTCACCCTGCTTCAGAGCCCAAAGCTCAGGCTCCGGCTCCCGCTGCTTCCCAGCACCAACCTCAGCCTTCATCAGCCCCCGCAGAGGACGCCACCAAGGACGCTGCAGCTACAACAAGCGCCGGCACGGCACCCGTTTCAGACAGGCATTCCCCCGCCACCCCGCAGCCAGCCAGGACCCCAGGGAGCGAGGAGGCCAGGTCTGAGTCGACAGAGGGCGTGGCAGAGTGAGATCTCATTGTAAACCATTTGATTTTGTTTGCTTATGTAATTGTTAATGTCATTTGTAAACACTTTTTCCCCCCCATATCTTTTAGCCAAGTAAAGAAATCAACCTTAAACCCCAACGCTAAAGAGTTCAACCCTATTAAAGCTCAAATGCCGATGGTAAGCCAAGTTACTCCTGCTAAACCCGTGAAATGTAAAAGCACTTTAGTAATCACAGAATGTGTTGAAGTGGAATCAGAAGTATATAAATAATGATAAGTACTCATTGCAGCTAATATTTTAGACTTGTTGGCACTTTGCTGTTGTCTCACTTATGGATATATATTTAGGAAGTGTTGCTATATTGAATAATACATTATAGAGATGCACCGCTTACGGTTTTCAGCTGATCGGCCGATCAGTCTCATGTCTCTAATTTATTTTATTTTTACGTCGGCCGGCAGTGGTACACACACACACACACACACAAATATAATAATAATAAATACAGATTCTTTTCACACACAAACAACATTTATCATTTTAATTGTGTTTTTTTTTTTTAATACAAGTAACCACGTCAGATAACAAACTAAAAGGATAACATAGAATTGTTGACAGTTTACACTTCGGAAGGGTTGTAATAAGTTTTCAGAATGGTGGTAAAAAAAAAAAAGTTAGTCTGGAACCTTACTGTCAATTATAGTGTAAAGGAATCGTCAGGTCAGACTTTTAAATAATCTGAATTGGTGCGTCTCTAATGAAATGTTGAGTCCCCTGTGATTGGCTGAGTGACGTGCAGATTTAATTTACCTCTGGTTCTGTTGTCGTACAGACGAAGCCCAACACTGCGCCCACCCCTCCTCGGCCAACTCCTCCAAGCCCAGTGGTCCTTCAGCACCCCGGCGGACAGGGTCCACTGTACAACACCCCCTACCTCTCCTATGTGTCGCAGATCCACTCTGTGCAGGTACGTGAGCAAATCAACGGTTACATATTTAATGCTTGTTGTTTTAAGACATGGAAACTCAACAAATGTGTAGCGCAACAGTATAATTAAAATTCCTGATAATTTAGTTTGAGCTACAAAAAACATTTATTTCCGTCATCGATTAATTTTGATTATGCTGATTACTTTGTCTATAAAAAGTCAAAAATAATATTAAAATGTAGAATCTACGGATGTATTTATATAGTTTATCTCTAAAATATGTGACACGTCCTCAGTGGGCAAGTGAAGGAATGTTGTGCAAACCTGGAGATGGCAGAAAAAGTTGCCTTCAGAATTTCAAGCCTGGCAACTGTGTCTTCCTAAAGCAAGTCTCTGAATGATACGATACCTTTTGATATTCCAAAGCGTGTCGGCAGAGTCGAGTTTAGATGTTAGAATTAGATGGTTGTTGCATAACCGGTCAAATAGACTGAAGTTAAACAGCTTGAAGTGTTGCGGATGTCTTCAGGGTTGACAAAACCACTGAGCTAGAAAATAGTTTAGGAGAGCAAGTCAAAGCTTTCCATTTCACACCGGTCCAACTCATCCTTATATTGCCAACTCAGTATTTGATGCCCAGTAGTAAAATATTAAATTAGCCATGCTAAGTCCACCCCCCCATCTTGCTGCTCGTGAATTACTTTTTTCCTATTTTGACCAGCTGCCTGCTCATACAAATGAGGTTTTAGGCAGCTTCCTTTTCTTACTAGTTAAATAGCTTTTGGGGGGGAAGTTGTTCCTTATCCAATGCAAGGGTCTGAGGACAGAGGGCTTTGTATGAATTGTAAAGACCTCTTAGACAAATGAAATTGAACTGAATTGAATCATTTCTGTATTTCAGCCCCCACCAATGTACCAGTACACCATGTCTACAGTCAGCCAGGGAAAATACCCCAGGACCAAAGGTAAAAGCAGCGTTTTTAATTCTTAATTTACATTTTCACAAACTGCTTTCTAAGATGAATGTCCTGTCGGCTCTTGTCAAAGCCAGATATCTATAACCTGTGGGACAACAGTGCAGTGACATTTGCTGAACAAAGTGTGTTAAAGCTGTAATGTTTATCTCGTCTTGATGATGCTTTGCATCCTCCAGGCCAAGTAGTGGCGCAGCGTTCTGACCACGGTTCTTCGGCACCGCCCATGATGCAAGCTGCGTCAGCAGCTGGGGCCCCGCTGGTAGCGTCCCCCTACCCTCAGTCCTACCTCCAGTACAACCCTCAGCAGTACAGCCAGCAGCAGGTCATCCAGGCCATGACACCCTACCCTGGACAGGTAGGAAGCCTGACCTCTGACCCCTTTATTTAATTCAGGGTTTAAATGGTCAGCAGAGTGTTTGCAGTAGCATTAAAATAAACACAAGTGGTTCTTTGAGCTTGTTTTTCAACAGTCACTTTAAGCTCTTCTCCCTCTTCAGCCGATGTACTCCATGCTGCAAGGTGGAGCTAGGATGATAGGTCAAGGTGGGGGTCCCCACCCACAAGCCATGGGACCCCCAGGAGGCCCCCAGTTCTCTACACAGGGAGACGGATCTCAGGGACCACAGCAGGGCATCTACGGTGAGTGGACCCAAAAACAAAATATCTCTATGCACTCCAATGTAGAGAGCGCTCCGATATTCTGAATTTAAGGTTGTACTGCTCCAATACTTTATCACGATGAGTCATGTCTGTACTTCTATTAAGAGTCTTACATTCTATTGATAGTAAAACAACAGTATAAAGCATCATTTTCTTCTTTTTTTTTTGTGTAGCTCAACAGTCCTTTGCCCACCACTCGGGTGCAGTTCATCAGCCCCAGCCCTCCATCACCCCGACAGGCAACCAGCCCCCTCCCCAGCACGCTGCACCAAGCCCTGGACAGGTGAGATACAGGACTGCATGGAATTCCCCAAATATACCGAAACACTTATGCTGTGTCTCAATTCAGAGTCTGGACTTCTAGATGAATTGCATTGTAACAGGCGGACAAGCCTGGGCCAAAATTATACTCGTCATATGAAATCATTTGGGGAGGTGGTGGATCCCGATTATTGAGATTACTCAATTATCTCTTGACTTTGTGATCTCTCCTTTCAGAATGCCCAGTCAGGCCCTCAGCCCCAGTCCTTGTACCACTCAGGTCCCCTGTCAGCACCCACCCCACCCAACATGCCGCCGGGCCACACGTCTCCACAAGCCTCTTACCCCATTCAAGGCTACAGCATCCACAGCCACCAGGGTATCCCACAATCGTACCCCCTTGGACAGATAGCACAGGTATAATACAGCCATCACTGCAAATGAGAGCATGTGTGAAATGAAAAGAAAGTTGTATCTTAAACTTGGTTTGTCAATCTGCTGCCCCCTCCTCCAGGCCCATGTACAGGGAGCCATGTCGGGTTCCCACCACTCGGGGGGCCACGGTCAGCCCCAGTTAGTGATGTTGCAGCCGCCTCCTCAGCAGGGCCCCGGCTCAGTGCCCCAGCATCCCCAGCATGGACCACAGCAAGGAGCACACCAACACTTTTACATAGGACATCCACAAGGTACGAGACGCGAAAGCAAAAGCTGTCCCTTGATGCTGTCTGTGGCTTGAAGTGTAGCATTTATAGTGTTTTCTGTTTCCCTCACAGCAATGCAGGTACAAGCGCACCCTGCTTCCTTCCATCAGCAAGGAAACTAAACCCCATCTACCCTCCTCCCCACCTCCCAAACTCTTCTTAGGAATGAGCCCCAACATCCCTGCCGCCTGCTGGATGTTGGCCCAAACTGAACGCGACTCATGAAAAACAAACTGACAGGATCGTACAGAAAGTCTCGCAGCAGCGTGTTCTTCTGCAACATTCTTCAGTAACAAACCTCGGTGTCGCCGAGGACCTTTTTAATGCTAATGATGGCCGACCCCTGCTGCCATCCTGCTCTTCTCTCCAACTTCTTCCCATTTCAGAGACATGAGGCACCTTGCTGGGCGGACGAGTCGGAGAGGAAAATATACGGATGAAAGACGGCAGCAGACACCATCTTCCAGCAGTGTGTTTTTAGCCTTGTACCATGACACACACGGGAGACAGACTGTCGTGGGATTCTCACGGATACAGCATGAAAGGAGAGGGGATTTTTAGCAAATCATTTCACTTTTTTTGAAAAACTCGATCCAGTAGTAGAAAACCCCCCTTTGCTTCTTCTCTCCTCTAGGAAAATATAATTAATAAAAAAAAATAAAAATGGACAAGACAAAAAAAAATATTAAAACAACAATGGCCAAAAAAATAAAGTTTTCAACTTAACTTCAAAGCTTTGTTTTAATTTATTGTATCATTCATTGTACTTGTTTGTTAGTTTTGCTTTGCACTGCATCAAGCGGTTAACATCCATAATGAGACATGTATTTTTCATTACACAACAACAAGAGCTCGTTAAACATTTGCTATTATGTCACGCTGACAAAATGAAGTGATTACCTGTGAGGGGGATTTTTTGGATTCTCATTAGCTTGAATTTGTTCCACTCACGCATGTTAATTTAAAATGGTCACTAGAGGGAACCCTCTTTATACACCAGCCTGGTGAGGCACACGGTCCTCGTTGCAGAAATGACTCTTCTTTGGGTTAGTGGGGCACTCTGCTTTCCCTTCAGGTCAGTATGACGCCACAGCGACGGCTCTCTAGATCTATGTACCACAGGCCATGTGGCCTAGTTTCCCCTCAGTGTAAGATGCTGGGACGCTGTGTGTGTGTGTGTGTGTGTGTGTGTGTGGCGGCCTTCTCAGTGCGACAGGGCGTAGAGCTGCTCGGCGCTGCGCTCCAGGCGGTCCCGGTACTCAAGGTTGGAGTAGTTGCCTTCAGGAACCCCTCGGTTGCCGTAGAGGAGACCCCAGCAGCAGCATGCAATCACTGCTGTGCTGTCACTGTCTCCTAGGCAGGAAAGAAAGGAGGAATAGAACTTCACATACTGAGATGTTTATGACATACTATACTCTAACTTTTTTTATGTGCATCTATCTGGTCCATTCGCGTGAATGTGATATCTCAGTTACTCATGGAATTTCTTCAAATTTGGCACAAACATCCACTTGGTCTCAAGGGGGGAACTGACTAGAATGTTGTGGTTAATGACAATTTCACACAATGTATTATAAAATAACATTTTGGGCAGATGGTTATGTAAAGTGCAACATAACTGGTTGGTGGAAGCCTACGACGGTGAGGTGGTAATTGCTGGTTATGATGTGCTATACTCTGGCATTCCAGATGTTTTCCAGCGTTTTTTTATGACTTTTTAAATAAACTACATTTTTTTTATAACTTTTTTCAACATGCTATACTATGACTTTCATTTCAAAGTCTTAGTATAATGTCATGAAACAAGTATTACATCATAAAGAGTGTTTTTAAACAAAGTATTGTATGTCATAAAAATGTATAAAGTCAGCATTTTTTTAAGAAGTCAGTGGGAAGCCATGAAATGGTTATTGTACAGCACGTTATAAAGAGTCAGTGTAGCCCCTGTCTTCAGAGACCAGGCTCCATCGTGGCATCAAGCTGAACTTGACGGGCAGAGAGCAGGATAAAGTGCTGGATGGGATGAGAGGAGACGGCCTTTGTATTAACATCAATGATGCTTTGTTTTCTAATGTACAGTAGTTATAGTTGATGGATATTCCCTGATGTCAACTTTTTAATGTTGAGATGTTGGACATATTCCCGAAAATAATTATTTTGTTGCTGCTGTCAAGTAAAAAAATTGCATCAGAATAAAATATTTTTTTTGTGCGTCATGTTTTTCTTTACATTTTGTTGTGCACCCTGTGTTGCATAATAAAAATAAATCATCTATAAATCTTTCAATGAATTTGTATGACTTTTTTTCAACATTCTTTCGATATGTTATGCAATGACTGATTTTTTCCGACATGCTGTACTATGACTTTTTACGAAATGCTATACTATGCCAAAAAAGACATTTTCCTGTTTGAATCTCTGACCTCCATGAAAACCTGCCCTGCTCATCAGCTCCTCCCAGTCTGAACCTGCCCCCAGCAGTGCATCCAGCGCAATCATTGGAGCGTCGTGGCCGCTGCGTCCCGCCCAGCCCGAAAGGCTGAAGCTCTTGTAGGCTTCGTCTCTCTCAGCTGGGCCATAGGACGAGGGCCAAATCACAGGCCCTACCCCACAAGAGATGCCCCTCGAATCCTGGTACCTGTGGACAGATGCAAGAGGTTTTCCTAACATTCATATTATCCTCCAATGTAATGTGATTCTGCAGAAGTGAAAGTGAAGTAATAAGTCATTCCAATGTCTTTTTTACTGTATGTATGAGGTGAAAACAGCTGTTTAGCTTTTTTATCAATGGTAATTATAACTGTGTATATATATATATATACACGCACACACACGTGTATTATTTTAAAATGAAAAGTAAGAAACATATGTATGAATTTTATATTGTCTTCAGGAGCAATATTTTATAATAAAAATGAGTTCAGTGCGGTTGAACTAAACCAAACCAGTGAAATTGAGACTGTAACAGGTTAATAGAAGTTTGCTGATGTAGGAGATCTGAATACAGCATGACAACATAACAAAGCCTGATTTCAGCAGCTCATACCACTGCCACTTGTCACAGAAGTAGTCCCAGTCTCTCTCGGCCTCCTCCACGGCGTAGCCTCGACCCTGAACAAAGCTCTTTGCTATTGGACAGGCCTCGTTCAACAGGCCTAGACCCCAGGTCGTTATTGGCCTGCGCTGGACCGCGTATGCCGTGAAAAGGGCCGATGCTACGGCTCCCAGGAAACCAGTGGGGTGAGGATGGGTCATCCTGCCTGTCTCTACTGCAACAGCCACCAGCGACAACAGCTGGTCAGGCTTCGGATACCTGATGGGGGAAAAGTATTTACGTCCTTATCGGCTTTTATTATGTTATTATGATATAGGTAGCTGAAGGTTTCACCATAACCCTAATGAGGTCCATCATATAGAAGATAAATATGTTTTCTGTGTTAGTATTCTGTCGGGATTAAAAACTTCTGTTTACAGTAATTACCTCTTTTCATGCTTTAATTGACTCCACATTGTTGTTGTTTTTACTGGTTCTGGCTAACACTTTCACCCTGGAACTCTGTTTATGTTATTTTCTGCTTAGTGATCAAAGACTGTACACATATTCCACTGCTGCATTTATTATAAATTACTTTGGATGAGAGCAGCAGCTGTGTGCCTCAACTGTAAATGTGTTTGTGAAATGTTTAATGTCATGTTTTCTTTGTGTCCTTGGGTGACCAAACCAAGTTGCACTATGTATTTTTAATAATGCTACTCCACTGACATTTCTTTCTCTTTCTACAATTTAAATTGAACAATTTAAAAGCTGATGACTACCATCCAAATCCGGATTAATTCCTCTTTACAACCAAATGTGATGAGTTTAGAGCTTAAACGATTAGTGGAATCATTGCTTAGTTGATCTACATTATATTAATCGCAACTATTTTGTTGACTGATTAATTGTTTAAATCACGTTTTGAGCAACAATGTCAAACACTCTCAGATTCTCCAACCTAAAGATGAGCTTGTTTTTGATCTGGGAAACTGGGATGGACATTTTTCCCTACAATTAATTAATAGATCAAATAATCAGAAGATCAATCGATTGAAAATAATCATCAGATCATTGTAGATCCCAAAAACCAGAGTGAGGAAATGTATTCACACTTACTCAT